AATATTCGGGATGCATTATTCTGTTTCTAGGAATCGGGAAAAGGCCTGAAATAGTTTCCTGTTATTGTGTTGTGCAGAGTGTGATGGCCAGAGCTGTAATACTTGGAAATAGGGACGGCTTGGTTCATAAACACAGAACCTTCACTTCTGTAAATGCAGATTGTGGGCGAGTGTGTGCGTGTGAATAAGTCTACATGACTGTGACTCGGAAGCTAGAGGATCCGGCTTCAACTCCCAGGCAGGGCGAAACGTTGGGCAAGTTTCCTTACTCTGCTCGCCTCTGTTTACCTCCCCGTAAGTAGGAACCCGGTTGTTAGTCGATCAGTGGATCGCTTTTCTGGGGGTAACAATCCCTTAAAAAAGATTCCCTCTCCGCCCCCCAAAAATAGGTCACTCAATCCACGACTGTTTATGGGAAACTGCTGTGCGCATTTGGCTACTGCTTCTCCCACAAAATATATAGTCAATTCACTTTACAGTATATTCTGTGAAACGCTTTGCGATGTCTGGAAGTCGTGCTAAGGCGCTATATCAAATGCCATGATTATTAAATATTTTTCTAAAGACCTTTATCAGGCCACTTTACCAACCTTCTTTGATCCAGTGGGAAAAGCCCCAGTTTCTCTCCGCCGATAATCAGCCATGAAGATCGAGTTGTGGGTGAGGACTTGGAGGCGAGTGAGCTGGGAGCTGTGCTGCGGAGAGATTCTTGAGGATAAGAGCAGAGGAGAAAAATCTGCTTGAGCTTAGATACACACACCAGAGAGAGCTCTGTGTGTGTGTGTGTGTTAACATATGCCTGATGTCACTCTCAGCCTCTTGTGAACTCTGGTGTTTATTTTCCCGGGTTACTGTCTCACTGTCTCTTTCTCTAATGCTGCAGGTTTGGAACGACAGTCAGACACACAACCAGCCCGCCTCGCTCGCCCGCTGCCCGGGCCATTCCGTGCAGTGAGATGGGAGATCTGACCCAATGCATAAACAGCAGAGCCTCTCTTCACCTGCTGTTACTCCTTGCCTGTGTCGTGGGAACCTCGACATTGAGTAAGTCACGCTTTGTTTTGTACTGTCATCTTAAGCGTTTTTATACACCTCGTTGCGATGAAGCATAATTTATACCTTCCCCCGGCGGGCAAGTACTGGGGCCACTTTGCACACAGCCAAACACACACACACAAACTGCCGGGAAGTGAGTGATTTAGAGGGAGAAATTCCCTTCTCTTGTTGAAAAGTGTTGCAGATCTTACGCTGAGAAACAGGCAGCAGGACCTTGTAGTAGTAGTAGTAGTAGTAGTAATAATAATAACAATCCTTGAATTTGATATTGTGCCCTATCCCATCATTGAGACGTCGCAAAGTGCTTCACAGAATATTCTGTAAAGTGGATTGACTGTTTATTTTGTGGTCGAAACACGGCAGCCAGTTGCACACAGCAGTGTCCCACAAACAGCCATGGAGTGAGTGACCAATTTTATTTGGGGGATTGTTGGCCACAGGACACCAGGAGAGAGAAACCCCCTTCTCTTTTCGAGTAGTGCCGTGGGATCTCTAATGTCCACCTGAACAGGCAGACGGGATCTCGGTTTAATGCCTCATCCGAAAGATGGCACCTCCAACAATGGTTGCATTGCATTCCCCCCCAACACTGCTTTAGAGTGTCATCTTATACCTAACTTAAACTTCCCTGGTAACAAGTCAGCTATTCATTACGTGTTGGGCCCAGAGTGGAGGAAGCTTTGCCTTTGTACCTGAGCCACATTATAGCGGAACTGGGAGTGGAGTTTTGGGAACCTACAATTAAGGAATCGTTTCAGCCCACACCCACAAACAGCCAGACACCACTCAAAGCCATGACTCAACCAGTGAACAATAATGTGGTGGGTAATTACTGACATTAGAGAAATCTCACCCTCCCATTCGCTCTCCATCTGTTACTGTGATCACAACAGGTTTATCCTGACCTGCAAGACCATTCCCAGCTGCGCTGTTGTAGCTCTCAGTCAAACTCTCTGGCCTCCAGCTGATGTCCTCACTCCTCGTCCTCACCCAGAATCTCAGAGGAAGGCGGTAGAGAGGGGGGCATGTAGGGTTGGTCAGTGTGCCCCAGACTTAAGACAGCTGTGTTAGTCCACATCACCACCCCGCACACCCACACCCATCAAGAGAAAACCTGATCCATGCACATGGTAGGGGCAGGAGCATAGGGTGCATATAATAATAATGTGTTTGAGACGTCTCAAAGAGCTTCACAGAATTTACTGTAGAGTGAATTGATTATATTTTGCGGCAGCCAATTGCGAACAGCAGTGTCCCACAAACAATCATGGATTGAGTGACCAAATTATTATTTTATCATTTTTGAAGGGATTATTACCCCCCCCTGGAAAGCGAGCGATCTGCTAATCGATTAACACCCGAGTTCCTACTTACTGCTAGGTAAACAGAGGCGTCTGGAGTAAGGAAACTTAACTAAGACTTTGCCCCACCTGGGATTCGAACCCGGATCCTCTCGCCTGGGCAGAGACTGGCAGGGAATGTTGGGCCAAACAGCCTGTTTCCCTGCTGTATCACTAAGTGTAACCCTACGAGAGGCCGGCGTTGTTTGGCGGAGATATACTGTACACGGCGACACCCTGATCAGCTCTCCCAAGCAATGAGCTGTTGATTTCCTAAACAAACAGGGAGTATGTTTTTCTGCCCAAGTCATTTTTTTTCATTTCTAGCCACTTCCCCTTTAACCAAATCATCTCCACTGCCCCAGCTCCCCTCCCCGCAAGGAAACGTGTCACTGAAAGGGTGTTAGCCACACTCACACAACATAGCTTAACCCACCACCCACACACATGCACACACATGCACACACACGCACATTCAGGTGGATAAAGAAGATCCGTTGCCATTGCTTGAAAAGAGAAGGGAATGTTTTGAACTTCATATCTGTTTGTGGGACATTCCTGCGCGCAAATTATATGCTGCATTCGCCTACAAACTACGCAGTCACTACACTTCACAGTATAATAATAATCCTTGCATTTGATATAGCGCCTTATCGCGTCGTTGAGAGGTGGTGGTGGAGTGTGGAGCAAGAAGGTTGGAGAGGAAGGGAGATACCAGGACAGGAAGGGATTTTTTTTTAGGTTATTTACATGGAATTTGCATGTGTACGTGGGATGCGTGGAACTCGGTTTAGTTTGTATACTCTTAAGTCTGGTGATAGTCTCTGTGTGTGTCAGACACTCGGCAGACCCCAAAAATTGTATTATCAGTTAGTTGTATGTGGCAAATGTAGACTGTGTTTGTATTGGTGTTTTCAACTGCGTTACATGTGTTTGTTTGTTTGTCTGTGTTTGTATGTTCTGTGTGTTTCTGTGTATTTCCGTGTGTGTTTGTGTTTATGTATATTTGTGTGTGTTTGTGTGTTTATGTATATTTGTGCGTGTGTAATGGAGGGGAAAGAGGGCAGACGAGTGTAGAAACGTGATAGACTGGCTGAACCAGTTTTCTGGTTGCTGCCAGAGGCTAAACTCTAGTTTCTGTTGATTCTTCCGAACAAATATTTGGGATCTGTGAGACGCAGAGCTGAGTGTTAATAAAATCCTTACTCAGTGGACATCAATGGATACATTGGCTCCCCACATCCCTCTCCGTCACTAAGTAGCCTGCTGCTCTCAGCTAATGGACAACACTGACACTTGGTACCTGGTTGACTATAGAGTGGATAACCCCTGGAAGATATATGGTTGTGATATTTTGCTCCCACACCCCCCAGGGTGCAGTGGCTTGGCGCAGTGGTAGCGCTCTCGCCTCTGAGTCAGAAGGTTGTGGGTTCAAGCCCCACGTCAGGACTTGGAACCACAGTCTACAATGTCACTCCAATGCAGTGCTGGGGGGTGTTGCATTGTCAGAGGTGCCATCATTTGGATGAGACATTAAACTGAGGTCCTGTCTGCCTGTTCAGGTGGACGTTAAAGATCCCAGAGCACTATTCAAAAAGAGAAGGGAGTTTCCCTCTCCCGCTGTCCTGGCCAACAATCCTCCAGATACAATTGGTCACTCACTCCATGGCTGTTTGTGGATATTGCCGTGTGCGACTGGCTGTTGCTTTTGGCCACAAAAGTAAATTCTGTGAAGCGCTTTGAGACGTCTCGACAATGTGATAAGGCGCTATATCAAATGCAAGGATTATTATTCTGGCAAACTGAAGGGAATTAAGCGCCCGTACGCTAATGACAGGCCAGGGGTGCAGGTTAGTTTAGCTTTATTTTTATTTCATTACTGTTCCGGTTGAGACTAAAATGAGTACATGGGTAACCTGATCCCGCGGAACAGCTGACTAACCCCGCAGTGGGGAGGGAGGGAGAGACCGGCCGAGGAACCTTAATCACACCAGATAATGAAGTATTGGGGAGAGAATCTTGAGATGTGAGCAGGAAGGCAGCGCGATATCAGTTTCCTGTCTAGACTGAGCACGGAGAGTTGTTGTCTTTTGCTGGTTTTGTGTCTCACCCACACTGATTGCTAAACAATTGTTCCCACCGAATCTATTTTTGCTGTCTCTCTCAGTTTCTCCTCCACTCTGTCTTGCACTTTTTCGCTTGTACTCACACACTGTCTCTCTCTCTCTTTTGCTGTATCTCTCTATCCGTCACACACACCCTCTCTCCGTCTCTCTCTCTCTCTCTCTCTCTGATCTTGCTCGTGCTTATCAGTTTGAGTTGGGTGCACAGAATAGGTGGAGTTGTGCAATCTTGCCGTTTGCAGACTGGTAACTGACTGACAATATCACAGTGTCTTGGTCGGTGGGAAAAAGCGAGAGAGAGAATACAGTAAACTTCACATAAGTCATAACTTAGGACCATATATTTAATATGACATATGTCAAACTTGCATAGAATATAAATTCTTGAACTAGACTCGGACAGACTTAGGCAATTATATGATTTATACAACAACAAAAAATGCAATTTTTATAGCGCATTTCACGTTGGGAGGACATTTGTACAGATCCGACTTATGCGACTTTTACTATTTTGTGGGGGGGGGAGACCTTACAGAGTTGTATCTGGTTTTAAATAGGATCAGGAAAGTAAAGCCAGATCAATACTTTTGGATGCACCAATGCAGTGATACAAAAGGACATGGGTGTACAGTTGCAAAAGGCAATTTCAAAACGAAAACCAGGAAGTTTTTCTTTACCCAAAGAAACGAATAGGTTAACTATAAACTATATACAGTATATAGTTTGGGACCCAACATGTCAAGCAACTGCCAGGCTGGTGGACGGCGAACTAGATGGCCCTTGGTCCTCTTTCCCTGAGCAAATTCTTATGTTATTAGGTTGCAAGCAAGGCCAGGACCCTGGACTCATTTAAATAGCAGCTTGATGCTGTAGCGCGGGTGTTTTATTTGGTCAGCCGGGTGTCTGACACACGCGGAAACCCATCACTGTGCTTAAAATTATCCAAACCAAACTGAGACCTACACGTGGAAATCCCAGAGATAGATTGTTGGAATGGAATTTGCCCTCTCTCCCTGGAGGGACACACCCTGCTTACCTAATTCCAGAGAGTACTAAGCGCAGGTAGGCAAGAGCCAAGGCTTGGGGACTCCTGAGTGGGTGTTGGGGGTAACTGCTGGAGTCCAACCAGCAAAAACCACATAGTTTGCCATTGATATCACAAAGGTTACCTTCCCCTATGCCTGAACCAGCTGAACCAGATCAGCAAGAACAACCAGACAGCTTTTAAGCGCTTTGGGACATCTAGAAGACGTGAAAAGCGCTATATCAAATGCAAGGATTATTATTATTATTTTTACACAGCCAGGCTCCACTGTGTGGCTTTGTGAACCCCATTGGGAGGGGAGAGATTATGTCCGTAACTCGTGTTCTACTTAGATTATCTTAAGATCTATGCAGACCTGTTGCAGGGAATGAGTGAGAGGTTTGGGGAAGGAAGTCACGTGTGTTTTGAGTGTCAACATGCTCCGGTTGTGGAGAGTGACGAGAGCAAGTACGCAGAATGTTTTTTTCCAGTCAGGAAGTCAAAATGTAATAAAAATTTAATCCTCTGGTTATTACGCAACAGTGATCTCTCCGTAAATTATTTGCTGTCCTCGCTGATTGCGTTATTATTAATAACTCAAAACATCTCAAACGGTTTTAAGGTAATTACTGTAAAGTGTTGTGACTGTGTGGGTGTGTGTGTATGCAGTGGCCAATTTGCACACAGCAATTTCCCACAAACAGGCCATGAAGTGAGTGACCATTTTTCTCTGGTCCACTGGCAGATTGTTTTCCGGGCATAATAATCCCTTCATAAAAATGTGTTCACTAACTAACTCCATGACTGTTTGTGGGACACTGCTGCGCGCAATTGGCTGCCAATCCTTCACCCACAAAATTCACAGTCACCGCACTTTACAGTATATGCTGTGAAGTGCTTTGGGACGTCTCAGTGACGCGATTTAGGCACGACATCGAATGCAACAATAATTATTTACTATTATTCCAATGACTGGACGAGGCACAGATGCAGTCTGTTGTCCCAGATGCCCTGTCAAACAGTTGAGGGATATAAATAAAGTGTTTGCCTCACAATGACCCACATGCTCAACGCCCATGAGTGAGTGGCTCCAGACCAGGAGCTATTGTCCTCTGCCCTCTGGCCCTACGTAAGGAGTGTCAATAGACCCCAAGCTGCTAATTCAGCTGCTGTGTGTCTCTCTCGCTGGCCTTTCTGGGAGGCTGCACCTGTCAGTAGCTGTACATCGCCTGGCAGCAGGCGGGAGCTGACACCGGGAGATGAACGATGAACAGCTTGTGCCAGTGGCCAGCTGGGACTATACGTCAGCCATGGCCTTGTTACTGCACCTCCTCATTCACAGGAGGCCAGTGTCTGCCCCCGACACTGTGTGATCTGCAGGAACCACAAGCTGTCCGCTATTTCATCCTCTAGAATATAAATAATAATCCTTGCATTTGATATGGCGCCTTATCACGTCATTGAGACATTTCAATGTGCTTCGCAGAATATACTATAAAGTGGATTGACTGTGAATTTTGAGTGAATTTTCAGTCACGGATTGACTGAACGTATTTTATTTACTTATTTTCTGAAGGGATTATTACTCCCCAGGAAAAACAATCGACTAACACCCAGGTTCCTACTCACTGCTAGGTAAACAGAGGCACGCGGAGTAAGGAAACTTACCTAAAGTTTTGCCCTGCCCGGGAATCGAACCCAGGTCCTCTCGCTTGAGAGACGAGTGCAGTGACCACTCCGCTACAGTTTACACTGAGAGAACGCAGTCACTGGCCTCGACCACCCTAACCAGCAGCCTCTTCCTATTTTTTATTACTCTCTGGTCGGGTGAGATACGACCAGAGCTCAATATAGCTTCCATATGACCTTAGGGAATCTGAACTCAACTGATTTGGCAGTACTGTACAGCCCAGCATCCTGTTTGCCTGTTCCTTCATTGCTTCACACTGTTATGACGTGATGAGCGACGAGTCAACCAGCACTCCCTAGTTCTCTCTCAAATTCCTTCCCTCTTGGCAGGTTCTGTTCCATCTGCGGAGTCCGAGACAGAGACTGAGTCAGTCAGTGCTGGGGTTTCAGGGGAGCTGTGTGAGGGCGAGGGCGTGGGCCTGTGTTCTCCCGAGCCGGGATGAATGTGGGAATCGGATTGCAGCTAAAGCTGGTCTCCAGATGGAATTATTTAGTCTGCAATTTATCAGCATGAACGCAGCGCTGGTGTGTGCCCGCAGTTCCCATGATTAAGCAGAAATAACTGCTGTGTGTGACAGAGAGAAAGAATGGGAAACCGAGAGTGAGTGAGAGACAATGTGAGACAGAGAGAGAATGAGAGAAATAAGAACGGAATAAAATTGGGAGAGGTTCTTTTGAGAAAATGACACTTTTATATTTTTACCTCCCCTGAAGAATTTGTGTATGGGGGGGGGGGTGTGTAGTGGGGGTGGGAAGAAGTGGTCAGTTACATATTAAAATCTTCACTCTTTCTAAAGCGATAGAGCTTTCGATTTTTGCAAAAAAATCCACGACTGTTTGAGGGACACTGCTGTGTGCAATTAATTGGCTGTCGCGATTCACCCACAAAATGCAGTCAATCCAGTGCTCAGTATATTCTGTGAAGCACTTTGAGACGTCTCAAAAGATGTGATAAGGTGCTATAATCAAGGACCTCAGCTTGGGTCCTAATCCCTGACTGTTGGGCGCTTTGGGATGTCCTCCCGACATGAGGCGCTGTCCAAATGTAATTTTTGTATTGTATCAAAGACAAAGATCATTTTTATTAAAATTGGTTATTGACTTCAAGGGCTATTTGTGGGATATTGCTCTGTGCATCATGGTTTCCGCTTTCACTTACAAATTCAGTCTTAGAAAAAGAACGCGGAGATGTTTTCAGATGTTTTGATGCGATAAGGCCCTAAATCAAGCGTAAAGATGGTTATCTCTGCACGCAATCTCGATCTTACTCTGCAGTTTTCTCCACACCTGTTTATGTCTTTACATCTCGCCCTCTCTACGTATCTATCTCTCTACATACCCTTCGTCTTTGCATTGCTTTCTGCACCTGTGTGGGTACATCAGCCTCTGTGTCTGGTCATTGTTTCCTGTCACTTTAATAATAATAATAATGATGATGATGATAATAATCACGGCATTTGATATTGCACCATAACACCTGTCAAAGAGACATCTTCACAGAATAAACTGTAAAGTGGAGTGACTGTGTATTTTGTGGGTGAAACACGCCAGCCAATTGCGCACAGCAATGACCCACTTTCTCACTGTACCTGTCACCCTCCACATCCGCACCTTCTCCCTTCTCCTGGTTCACTCTCTGAGGCTGGGATCAGCTGATCTGCTCCATATCATACTGTGCACATTGGGTGAACCTGTGTTTGTACTGTGGTTTGGAGAGACGGAAAGTTTTTGTCACACGCCATGTCAGCAAAACAGTAAGATCGCCCAAACTCAGACAGGGAAGGAAGCTCGTCAGCTACACTTTATCTTGGCTCTTCACTCTCTGTGTGGGAGACAGACTGATAGCTACACTGAGGCTCAACACAGGAATTAAGGCTGTGCATGTGTGTATCTCTCTCTGTGTGTCTCTATCTGTGTGTGTCTCTATGTCTGTTTGTGATTTTGTGTCTTTATTTCTAGAACCATAGAAATTTAAGGCAGAGAAGAAGGCTTTTTGGCCCATTGGCCTTTGCTGACACCCTCAAGAGCATTCATTTCAGTGCCTATGTGGGTGTGTGTCTGTCTGTCTCTGACTCAATTTGTCTCTTTGTGTTATGTGTGTGTCTGTTGACTCAAATTTATGTCCCTTTTTGTGTGTCTATGTGTCTTCTCTCTGTCTCCATGGATTTCTATGTGTGTCTCTCTCAAAAGAACAGAACCAGGAATTGGATCCAATAGAGTTTTTCCAATGATGAAAGTCTTTGAGAGGAAACAGCTAATTCCCACTGGGTGGTGAATCAGTGACCGGGGGGGGGGTCACACTCAGCCTTGTTAAAGAGACAGTGGTGCGGGGGTGGGGGTGGATGTGGAGAGTGAGAAGAACCATAACTATGTTTAAAAGAAAATTGGACACGTATTTAATAGTTGAGGAATATACAGTACGACTCACCTTAGTCGGATCAATATGAGTCTGAGTTGCGGGCAAACAGTATAACTCGTATAAAAAAAAACAATTTAATCAATAATCTACACTGCAGGTGCAAAATTCAATGCAGCCGATTAAGTGCAGGAGTAATGGAGGTGATTAACACGACGAGTGCAAAGAAAAATCAAAGTGGTTTTGACAGCAAACTGAATGGCACTCGGGCGAATGTACAACTTTATACGATGCGTAAAGCTAAGACGTTAAGATACGCAATGGCAGTGTGAGCTGTGTCAGTGATGCTGTGCTGTGTTTCCCTCTCTCCCCCACCCCCACCCTCCTCCCTTGCAGGGTGCCAGCAGCCTCTGGAGCCAGAGAACGGGGGCTTCTCCTGTCACCCCACCCACTGCGGTGCCTTCGCTGACCAGACCGTCATTGAGTACTTCTGTGAGGAGGGCTACACGCTGAAGGGAGATTATAAATACCTGACGTGCGAGAGCGGGCAGTGGGAGCCGGCGATGGAGATCAGCTGCAGACTCAACCGTGGTCAGTGTCTGCGCTGGTGGCATTATTTTCTGCTTTCTGCTTCATTCACAACACTGTCAGTACTTGCCAACACAAATTGCCTTTATACAGCGGTTTTCACGTCGGGCCTGTTGGTGCTCTCATGGTGTCTGTGAGATGTGACGGCCGGTGACTTGTTTATTTCCTGCTTTTTTCCAGATAAGGATACCAGCCAGAGCCTGGGGGTGCCCACCCTCTCCATCGTGGCCTCCACTGCCAGCTCCGTGGCTCTCATCCTCCTGCTCGTGGTGTTGTTTGTTTTGCTGCAGCCGAAGCTCAAGTCATTTCACCACAGCCGGTGAGTCCGGGAGGGGGAGAGGGGTGTCTGCAACACAGGGAATCCCAGGCTGTGTGTGCCGCGCAAGGTCCCGTCTGCCTGTTCAGGTGGACGTTAAAGATCCCACGGCACTATTCGATAATAGTCCCCCAAACAAAATCGGTCACTCACCTCCACGGCTGTTTGTGAGACACTGCCGTGCGCAATTGTACTGCTGCGTCTACCTACAAACACACGGTTACTTCACGGCACAGTAAATCCCGTGAAGCGCTTTGAGACGTACGTCCGATGCGCTAAGGTGTTATATCAAATACAAGGATTATTATTATTACTATTCTACGTGGGAGTGAAGATTGGGGTAGGAGGGGTGGGATTCAAGACCCCATTTCTTTTGGGAGTCGTGTATCCTGAGGCTCAAAGAGTAACAAATTTTCTCTGTGTGTCTCTCTCTGTGTCCGTATCTGTCTCGCTGTCTCTCTATGTCTGTATCTGCGTCTCTGTGTCTGTATCTGTCTCTCTCTGTGTCTGTATCTGCGTCTCTGTGTCTATCTGTCTCATTGTCTCTCTGTGTCTGCATCTGCGTCTCTGTGTCTGTATCTGTCTCGCTGTCTCTCTGTGTCTGTATCTGTCTCTCTGCGTCTCTGTGTCTATATCTGTCTCGCTGTCTCTCTGTGCCGGTATCTGTCTCACTGTCTCTCTGTGTCTGTCTGTCTCTCTCTCTCGCAGGAGGGACCAGGGTGTGTCAGGAGATCAAGCCTCTATCGTGGTGGATGGAGTTCCGGTCTCGTTGCCGTCCTATGAGGAAGCTGTGTACGGCAGTTCAGGGGCTGTGGTGCCGGCCGCTGACTCCCGGGTACAGATTGTGTTGGCCGAGGGTCCGGGGCTGGAGCGGGAGCCGCTGTGTGAATGCCCCCCGCCCGGGAGAGCAGACCCCGGCCCCCCGCCCGCACACTGTGAAGCCGGTGGTTCCGGACGCTCAGAGACTGTTTTGGTTCACCAGCCCTCCTCCTCTTCCTCTTCCTCCTCCTCCTTCTCGTACTCACACGGCCGTGGGAACGCGTTCCGCCTTGCCCGGGCCTCGGACGCCTCACTGTTAGAGTTGGAGGGCAGCGACGTGCACAGTCTCCTGTCCCTCTCCTCCCCACTGGGCTCCACTGACGGTGAGCGGCGCAGATACAGCACATCGGGCACCATAGGGGCCGAGTGGGGCAGCCGGTGTGGTTGGGGCTGATGGTTGGGGGCGTGCAGAATAGTTGGTTGGCGGTGGGGGAGGGGGAGTGGGGGGTACATAGTTGTTGGTTCGAAGACGTGCAGAGTACTTAGGTGGGTGGGGAATTTTCCGAACAGTTTGGTTTGTTCAGGTTGGTGGGGGGTACTGGGCGTGTGGAGCATTGGTTGGTTGTGGGGGGTGGTGGTGTGCAGAGTGATAGATTGGTTAGAGGAGCAGGAGGTATGGAGTGGTTGGCCAGCGGGAGGGTGTTGTGTTGCGGAATGGTTGGACGTTTGGGGGGGGTGGTTGGGGGGCGTGCGGGGCGGTTGGTTGTGTGGGGGGAATGTGGAGGGGTTGGTTGTGTGGGGGGATGTGGAGCTGAGGGGACTAAGACCAGATCTTGCCTCTTGTGTTGCAGATATTCCTTTACTGAAAGACGCGTGAGGTCAGAGATCACCTCCTCATCTTCAAGACTCGATTCCTTGCCTTCCATTGATTGATTCTCTCTCCTCCCCCTCACTCACTCACTCACTCATTCACACACTCACTCACTCGCTCACTGACTCACTCACTCTCACACTCTCTCACACACACACACACACACACACACACCCTCTGACACAGTGCACTGTACGGACTTTATCTGCGAATCGGAGTAATTGGCACTTTTCTCTGTGCACGTCCCTGTGTGACTGGCAATATGCACAGTGCCTGTCTCGTTGGTTGAGTAAGTGTGATTCTCCGCTGTGCCCTGAGCACATTCCAGCTGGGGTTGTTTGTGGCCATGTTGAGCTGGATTGGGAATGGGATTGGGAAATGGGAATGGTAAAAGCTCTCCGGAGATGGAAACAATTGGCTGCAGTATAGAGTATAAAGTTATATCATTCAGTATAAAGTTAGGGGGTGAGATTTGTCTGAAGATCTCTGTGGCTAGGCTCAGACTGAAGGTTTTAAAATACCCCCCAACAACGTGTTCTGGTAAATCCTGGCTGACTGACCCCCTGTTCCTCTCCTCCCTGCCCCACAAGCTTCACTGCCAAGTCTCTGAGCTTCCCACAGACACTGGTCTCTTTTTTTATATTGACTCTCGCCCTTCCACCCTCCACTGGCTTCTAACATGCTCATCACCTACGGCACCAATGAGAGTTAGTGACACTCAACTGCCTGCTGCAAGGGAGACGAGAGAGAGGTCTGGTTGGGATCCTGAGCAACTGGAATGATGTCAGTCACTTCCCATCATCTCTTATCTCCCTCTGGGGGGGGAAGAGGGGTGGGGAGGCTGTGGTCTCCAAGAGGTGGGAGGGGGAGAAGAGATCAATTAATGATGCAAGTAACCACGTAGCTTGCCATTAACAGCCACAGTGCTTTTAATGGCAAGCTATTCCATTTTAGCTGGTTAGGCTCCAGCAGTTACCCCGCTCTGGGGTTCCCAAGCCTCGGCTTTTGCCAACTTGCGCCTAATACTTTCTGGAATTAGATAACCAGGGTGCGTCCCTCCAGGGAGCGAGTGGCGCCAACAGTCCATTCCAACAATCTATCTCTGGGATTTCCACGTGTAGATGGGATGCATGGTTTGGTTTGGAATACTCTTAAGCTTGGTGATAGGTTTCTGCACGCGTCAGACCAAAGAAAATCACTTTAGTGACTCCAACACGCTTCCTTTCAGCCTGTGAGTGTGCGTGTGTGTGTGTGTCGGGAGGGGGTGGGGGGAGGGTGTTGGTGTAACAGAAAGGGATTGCGCTTTGTGTGGAATTAATATTTTTTCTTGTTGCCTTGCTGACGTGCCTGGTATATGTGTGACTGGCTGGATTGGCCTCTGCTGTTTTAGGAAACACTGTGTGTGTGCGTGCGCATGTGGGGATTATTGGCTGCCGCTTTATAAGAGAGGAGGGGGACACCATCCATTGCTGGTCTAAAGTGAAGGACAGGCAAAAGGTTCACTCTCTTCCCTCCCCTCCTCCTTCCCCCCCCCCCACACACACACATGGCAGTGATACACTAATATTTCCTACAGTAACACCCCCACCCCCCACACACACATACACAGTAACTAGGAACATCAGCAGCCTGTAGCAAGTCACCGGGTGACGGAGGGAGAGCAGGTAGTCTGAGTTTGGGGCATCAGTGGCAGAGGGTGGCAGTAGCACAAACATGCGCGTTCAGCAGGGAAACAAGTCGGGGAAGTAAATAGCAACCGTGGCTGGGTGGAGTTCCTGAGGCTGGTCTCGTGAGACAGAGCGAGAGAGAGAGACTCTGTCATTCCCCACTGTATGTCACAGAATAATTTTACATTTCAGAATCCCATTATTTCTAACCGAGCGGCACGTGTTTGCCAGACTGCGTGAGGATGCATTCTAAATCTAGCTCTTTTTTTTAGACCAGTACTTTCTCTTAACAGATCCGCTTCCCCTGGTCTGCCTATACTAGGATGTGTGTTTCATTTTAATTTCCTCCTGAATCTTGTAAAAACAAATTAAGCGCTTTTTCTCCCCGTTCCCTCAGAGAGAGAGAGTCTGGCAGCTGTCGTACAGCGTTGCCATTGCTAATGCATTGACAGGAGCCTGGTTTTATGCTGTCTCTTGTCTGCATACAAACGGCACCAACATGTGTGAGAGAGAGATAACAGAACACTTTGCATCTTTTGGGGTTTTCTTTGCTTTGAAGTTTCCTCTGAAATCTTGTATATTGCATTGGGTGTGAACATAGTATTTTAATATTTGTACAAAGTTAATTTAAGGTTAATTGTACTATGTATATAACTGCATTTCTAAATAAATTTACTCTAAGTGAACGCTACGTGAGAGACGTGTGTGTGAAGGTCCTGAATGAATTCTTGTTCCACATGTTAGCTCAGCACTTTGCTTTGAGATGAGAATTATAATACAGTAATATAATCCTTGTATTTGATATAGTGCCTTATCACATTGTTGAGATGTCTGAAAGTGCTTCACATAATATACTGTAAAGTGGAGTGACTGTAATTTGTAGGCCAAATGCGGCAGCTAAATGCACACAGCAGTCAAGGATTGAGTGACCAAACTATTAGTATTATTTCGAGGTATTACGCCAGAAAGCGATCCGCCAATCGACTAAAAACCAGGTAAACAGAGGTGTGTGAGGTAAGGAAACTTGCATAAGGTTATGCCCCACCCGGGAATCAAACCCGGGTCCTCTCGCTTGTGATACGAATGCCCTAACCAATATGATAGGACTCCATGTATATAAGGATTAAGGTGATTCATCAAATTAGTATTTCATCTGGACATTCTCGTATTGATTGGTAATTTTAAGTAGGGTTGGCTACGTTAGACCAGCAGTGCCAACCTGTGACCTCCCGAACATTCGCACGAGTCGAGGTAAGTCCGTGTTGAATGGAAAGTGTATTTTCATTTTTTCTTATATAAGAGGGATACCATTGGCCTCAGAGTTCTGGGTTATAATAATAATACTTGCATTTGATACAACCCCTTATCACGAGATATTTCAAAGCGCTTCACAGAATGAAGTAAAGTGAATTGACTGTACATTTTGTGGGTGAAACAAAGGGAAGTAAGACAAGACTCCCAACAACTGCAAGGATTATTATTATTCAGTGACTCACTTCTGGAAAGTACAACTCTAAACATTGGTTGACAGATTCAAACAACTGGCTACTACTCATCATTTGTCTCATACTGTACCAGGAATTCAAGCACAAGGCCAGCTAAAAGAGGAAGTTTGCAACCAACCACATAATATACATAAAGCATAATTGAGTGTATACACTCCCCACGACTCAGTAAGTAATTTCACAACATCCTGCCCATGGTTAAACACCGGTATTCATTGGGGCCAGAGGCCCAATAGCAAGATTACATTGTGTGGCAACATACTAATGTTCTCTATAGCATCAGACTCCTGTCATTTATAGGAGCAAAGCAGTTAGCATTTCCCAAAGCGATCTGGAAAAGCATATATTATCTGTTGGGTCAATCATTGAACACTGAAATAAGGTCAAGGTTGCATTCTATAGACACTTTTCTACGCCCCTCCACTCTGTACTTAGATGTCCACTTGCCAGGGTTGTTGACAATCTTACTCAGCTAAGGCATAAATCTCTTAAATGAGAATGTTAATCTTGCATTATGAGGCTAGGTGGATGTGTATGAGGGAGGTATAGTACTGCTGGAGTCTAACCAGCTAACATCAAGTTATGCAGTTTTAGCTGGTTAGTCCCCAGCAGTCTCCTAATGCACTCTGGGGTCCCCAAGCCTTGGCTCTTGCCAACCTGTGCTTAAGGACAAAGATCAGTGAGGAAGGTCAGAACAGAGGGAGAGTATTTAGGAGGGAAGGCAGGAAAGAAATGGAAAGTGATAGAGGGGAAGCTTCAGGAAACAGTGAGTGATAGTGGGAGAGAGCGAGCATCACACATGTCTCGATGCCTGAAAACTGGTACATGTGAGAAGCCATTTGCAGAACAAAGAGTTACTAAATCCACAAAGATGAGGTAAGTGGTTTAAAAAAATCTTTATTGGTAATTAAGTACAGTCATCAGTTAAGGCAGTAAGTTTAAAAGAAAGTGAGCATTAGTTAAGTCTAAACTAATGCAAATGAAAGACAGAATTTAGAAAAAGTCTTAGTAACAAAAGGTAATCCAGGATCGTAAAAAGTTAAGAAATACATATATTGTTGTTTGTTCTACTGTAGTTCAAAGTTCTAGGCTTTGCACTATTGCAGCATTGTACAGGGCAGTGTATTCAGGCTCGATGGCATCTTTCATTGCTTGTCTCAGCTCCTTCAGGATATGTACAGACGACATTTCTCCTGGATTCAGGATCTTTTCGAAGAAAGTGGCCCACAACTTGCTGTACGGCAAATTCTCCCTGTAATGATAGTGTATTTTGTACATCTCATTAGATTCTGCAATGTATGGGAGGTGAGATCTAGTAAGGAATTAGTGAGGATTACAGAAAGACTTTAGCAAGAATCAGCATGAAGAGTAAACACTCACATTCAACAGATTATTATTTGTAGAATCACGCTTCCTAACATCCAATTCTTGGATGCATTAACAGAGCAGTACAGCAGAGATGGATTCTATCCAGCCAATATCAGGGGCTTCTAAATACAGCAACTGCAGCAATATTTGTCCTGTGTTAGCAGGATCCATATTTCAAGAGCAGCATTGGCAAGGCTCCCTCTCAGTTCATTTAGCTAAAGCTGTCTGGCACGTTTTCCTGCTGCTTGTCCAGCTAGGACCACCCTACCCATCAGGGCTTTGACTTGCAGCGTTAACAGTAGCTGAGTGGGAGGATTCCCAGCTCCCAGTAACTGGTCTGTCCTTCCAGGTCCTGCTGATGAGCCAGGCTGACTGTGTTGTCATCAGCAGTGCCCTGGAATACTGCGATCCCACCTGGCTCAGGAACCGGACGAATGAGACCGCCACAAAGGGCTGGCTGTGGCAATTTGGCAAACGTCAAATTGGAGCCAGTCCAGTTCCAAGGAGACCCTGCTTACCACCCCTCCACCAGGATAGATTCATTTAGCTGAGGCTATAAAGTTGAGAACATCTCAAAAGCATGTTAAAGTTTCTGAGAAGTACAGCAACTATTTATAGATGAACACAACAACTAATCTGCACAGTAATGTCCCACAGACAGTTGTGAAGTGTATGTGCAATTTATCATATAGCACAAAGCAAGAAGCATTACCTGAAAGATGTCAGCACCCACTGGGTATTTTTTTTGCAGATATTCAGCTGCTCTCCGAACAGCAGGAGATGCACTGTGTTAGCAACACCAAGGAGATCGATCTAGAATAGCCAAATGGGTAACAAAAAGGTTAAAGTACAGGCTTTCATACAGATTTGCTGCTTTCTCCACACTCAATTTTCTTCTCAGAGACAAGGTTCATTTTCCAGCTACAAATTAGGATTTTACTTCTACATGGACAGAAAATATTAATCTATTAAATGGACCAAACCCCTTTGGACTAGATATAATCCTTAAGAAATCTGTTCATGAGAAGTTATATTGAATTACATAAAACACGAAAGCATAGAAACAAGATACCAGCCCAACTAGACTCTACCACTGTCTGTAATGCTGCCCGAGCCTCCACCCCTCTCCGGACCCTTCTTTTCTCCCTCATGTAGCACGTGGACTGGCTCTTAAAGCATTTCCAGTGGGCTGGTCTTACAATTTAAAGTAAACTTGCATTAGCGTCAGCAACTCCATGAATATAGTGAAGAGTAATTTCCACATTGGTGTACTTCATTCTGAAAGGCCAATGCAACTGACAGCAACTTCAATCGATAAAGAAATTGTTAATTTATCCAAGTTCATTTGGCTTGTAATAAACTTTAATTGGCTTGAATACAGTACTATCAGTAAGGTTTTTCTGAGTAGCAACCCTTTGCCGAGCTACACTAATTGTGGAATTGGAATCCTGTTTGGACTTGATTGAATACTTGTAAGTTTCCCTTTCTAAGGCACGTGTGATAAATCACAGACCTAATCTTTGGAGCAGGTTTAGCAATAAACCGCACCCAAACCCAGAGTTGCACATCACATCCCCACCCCTCAGGTCTTCTCCAACCACACTCTTCTGTTTGCACTCCCCCTAACACCCCAGGGTAATCAGGTTACCGATCCTCCACCCCATCATCAATGGCCAAGCCTTCAGATGCTATACCCCATTCTCCAAAACTCTAATCCAAGTGTTTTTTGGTAGGAAAATGAATGGGACTTGGGTGGATGTACGACTTGCTTTATGATTTGTAACGACACGAGTTTACCTGTAAATACAACTTCTATTGAGTCAGCAACAGACAGAATATATCCACTCCACTATCATCCATTTGCTGCAGCTTATTCTGCAGTGGTTTAGTGTAAGAGAGATTGTGTAACTTCTTGCGGTGCCTCTTACCTGGTACACACTACTGCACTCAGACAGCACTTCCTTTGTGTGCAGTGATTGTACCATTGGGAAACCAGCAAATGAGGCAACGTCAGAAAGCTGTCTCAGGTCCAAGCTGTGAGTGAAGTCCACTAGTTTTACCATACCAGCGATATTAACACAACTCGTAGAGGGTTTGCAGAACCTAGGGAAGAAAGCAGTTTACATTCAACTTAAACCTACAAATCTGCCAAGGCAATAGTCCTCCTTGGAGACTCCAGACTTAATATAGCTGTGAGCTCAATGTATTCATTGAAATAGGTAGCCTAAAACATTGCTATACTCAGATTTATTCTTGTCTACACAAACTAGCAGTTCACTTATTAAATTAATATTGATATCAATGATTGCAGTTTCTTACATGCTTTTGTGAGGCTGAAGTCTCCATCTTGCTACTTTTCCCGTGGACAATGTTATTTTTTATCTCACAGTTTCCTAAACACAAACTAGGAATCAGGGCAATGATTTGTGTGACTCTCAACCTGCCAGGAACATCCTAAATAACCTGGAGAGAAGGCTGGGCTCCATGTAGCATTTCCCGTGACGTGGTCTACCTGCGGAGGTGGAATCCACTGACAATGGCTCCAGGAATAGACATTTCAGGGGAGATTAACATGAATACTGCTTTGACTTCATTGTTGGGAATCTGCCTAAAGTCTTAGTTCATAAATTATATGCATCCGTCAATGCTTCTATCCATGCCAAAACCAACTGAAGCAAAAAGGAGTAATTTTCAGTGATGCTCTTGCCTCTCCTTTAACCAGCTCCTATATAAAAGCTTTTGAAACCCAAGCTGTTATTCGCTCAACTACTTAATCATTTCCTGCTACACTTCTTAACCTTGCCGTCCTTAACTATGAACTTTCTTCCATGTTTCTCTATGTTTTTTTTAAAAAAACTAACCAGTCACCCAGGAACAATGTTTCAGGTTGCACGTCTCCATGAACAATCTCAGCTTGGTGTAATTGTTCCACCAGGGCCAGCAAATCGAGTGTCAGAAATAAAGTCAGCTCCACCTGCAAGGTCGACAAACCCTGGAGCAAGTCCTTTAGTCGAACATAGATCCAATGAGAACATCATTAGGACACAAAAAAAGTTGAATCAGAGAATTCTGAATGCGAAGCTTTGACTCACATCAGTCTAACTTAAGGCTAATTTAATAGCATACATGGTTTAAAAAGTCAAACGTTAAGAAATTGTACAAAGCAAGATGGAGTGACATGCATCTAATGCTGTGGGCATTTTAAAATGAGTGAGTAGTGTAAATAATACATTTTAATACAGCATTTTCACATCGGGAGCAGGTTTCAAAGTGTTTCACAGAATTTAATATAAAGTACAGCAATTGTATTTTGTAGCAAAAGCGCAGCCAATTTTTCCACAGACCCACAAACAACCATGAAGTGAATGACCAGTTTTATTTGGGGGGGAAGGGCCAGGACACTCAGAAAATCCCTTCTCTTTTCAAATAGAGGCACAGGATCTTTAACATCCACCAAGATGTAGACAGGACCTCGATATGATATCTCATCCGAATAGACTAGTAATCCATTTACATACATACAGGGGTGTTGTTAGTGCAGCCTAATATGAGACTGGGAAAAATCCAGCCCAGAAACTAACCAAGTGGTACACTGGAAGGAGAAAAATAAATATTGGCCCACACCTATTTAAAGCAGGTCTTACCTGTATGGTTTTGCAGTTCATATTCCAATCCACCGTCACACAGCCATCTTCAAACAGATAGCAGCTACATTTGCTGCTGAAATAGTTGGAAAACTGGGACCCGAGGCGTTCCTTCAGCTGCTGGTTAATGTAGAAATCCCAGGGTACAGTGTGGGAATCCACCTGTATTGTACAACCACAATGTTCATTCAGGTGATGGTTACATTCCCGTTTGTTAGTTTGTAACCAGAAGCTTAGTTACACAAACTAAACATTTCCTACCTTTATAATTGCATTGCACACCAGTGAGCTGGTACTCGACCCATAGAATCGTCTGCACTGCTCACGCCCCACAGCCTGTTTGATCTTAAAGGTTTCCGAGCCTATTGAGAACAACACAGTGAATGAAACCAGCACAGAAATATATACTGGTTGAGACACCAACGAATTTAATCCAACACTAGATATTCTCTTTTGGAGAAAGGCCAAAAGGCTATTAAAAGAGTGGAGTTCTAGAAACAATCCTCAAGGGAGCTGATGGATAAGGCTGGTTTCTACTCATTTATTCTCATTATCATTTTTGACAATTTAGGGGAGGAAATTACCAAAATTAAACCAAAGCGTCAGTTTAGAAACCAGAGAAACAGAAATAGCTTTTTTTAAAAAAAAATCTTAATTTCTACAGTGAGCATCTTGCCCAGTTGCAAAGAATTTACCAAGTGCCATAGCAACTGCCTGGCATGCTTCATACTCTAGAAGAAACTGGTGTTACTCTCAATGTGTAAATATTATAGTGAACAAATAAGTACTAGAACTGTTGCACAATCACTTTTGGCATTTGCAATGCCCGTGCCTGATTTTTTAAACATAATTCAGGTCATAGAAACAGGAGTTGTCCATTTAGCCCTTCAAACCTGATCTGCAATTCTACAAGATCAGGGCTGATCTGTACCTCAAGTCCAATTACCCACCATTGCCCCAAATGCCTCAATACCCTGTCCTAACAAATATATACCCTGACTTAATTGTTATTAACACTTCAATGGTGAACTTCCATTTTGTTAGGCCATCTAGTGGTACGATCTAGTATTGCGGTTTCCCCATCAGGATATGAAGAAAGAGGTCTGTGAAGTCTGACAGCATCGCTGCACATGACATATTCTGGCCATATTTTGCAGCACTAAGTATATTTAAAGTATACATGGTATTGACCTTTAATTGCTCCCATATGTCTAGCATCTCCCATAACACAGTCCCAAATCTCGTTGGCAATTCCTCAGAATTCTAATACTCTTCATACACATTTACAAAACATTTGTACATAAAGATAGCAAGTTTAAAAAAAGCCAAGAAGCGAAGATTATTTTGAGCTGCCGCCACCACCACTGGTGAAACAATCACTTAGGAGGTTAGAAAGGTTAGAAATGAAAAGCAACTTTCAATATAGTACTGTCCTCTCACTGCTTCTTAAAAGTACATTGTGTGATACCAACTAGGGTCATCCTGTCAGATGAGTGGCACATGCTCTTTAGATAACCAAATAGAACATATTAACATTTGTAATGAAGCAAACTGATAATAATAATCTCTGCATTTAATATAGCACCTTATCACGTAATTGAGACGTCTCAAAGCGCTTCACAGAATATACTGTAAAGTGGATGGACTGCATTTTGTGGGCGAAACACGGCAGCCAATTGCACACAGCAGTGTCCCACAGACACTTGAGGATTGGAGGGATTATTAACACCTGGAAAATGATCTTCCAATTGACTAATAACCATGTTCCTACTTACTGCCATGTAAACAGGGGTGTGTAGAGTAAGGAAATTTGCTTAAGGTTTTGCTCTACCCGGGAATCAAACCCGGGTCCTCTCGCTTGCACGCGAACCACTGCGCTACGGGACTCCAGATATGTTCACTGAACATTTGCAAAAGGCTTCCTGATCCCCAGCATCAACTCAGAATTAGCCAGAACAATTACAGTGAGATTGTTCACATTTCCAACAGTTAAATAAATCTAGCTCAGTTTGGTCTTCATATTTTCTATGCCTCGGGCAATGTGTGCAGAGCACGTTGCAAGTCAGTCACTTACCCAGGTTCAGCACACTCCCATCTTTGGGATGAGGTAATGGACTGCTTTGAACATGGAATTCCGGGAAAGAATTCAGGGTTTTGTGGAGTGACCCCAGCAGCTGCTTCTGTACTTCCTTGCTCCACGGGTCATCTAAAAGTCAAGATGACATTCAATACAGCAAGATTTCAGAAACCAAGCAGGAAATAAAACATATCCTTGGGATAATAGCCAGTTCATACTTTGTGTATGTATAATATATCCTTGATTTGCCAAATTAGTTGCCAAGATTTAATTTGAATCCAGACCACAAAAGAACAAATTTTAAGGACACATCGTGTCCCAAGTACTGTATATAATTTGGGGCACATGTCATGCGACTGCCAGGATGGTGGAAGGCAAACTGGATGGACCTTGGGTTTTCGTTTGCCTAGTACGTTCTTATGACTTGAGCTTCTTTAGGTTCTATTCTAATGTCTATTACACCAATGTTAAAACAGCTTCCTCATCGTCTTAAGTTCCTAACTGCAAGCTAATTTAATAAGCAGCACTCAATCAAATTAAAAATAAAGGAAAAGTAACAGTTATTTATGGAGACTCAGTTAGTAAATCTACTGTCCCAAGTGTGAAACTAGTCATCTTAATCAACCAATTCATCCAGATGTATTCCAGCTGTGAAGCCCAATTTGCTGTGAGTTTTAAACCAATAATAATAAAATCATCCTCATACGAAAAGCACACTTCATGTCAGGAGGTCATCTCAAAGCAATGCACAGAATATACTATAAAGTGTAGTAACTGTGTTTTTGTAGGTGAACGCAGTAGCCAATTGGCACTCAGCAACGTCCCACAAACAGTCATGAACTGAATGACCAATTTTATTTGGGAGACTGTTGGCCAAAGCCACTATGAATTAAAAGTCCACAACCTTCTGACTCAGAGAGTGCTACCAACTGAGACTGGCTAACACACAAGCCAAGCACAATACATTTTGGGCACATCTCAACTGAAAGGACTTTGGGTTTCTAAGCCGATTTGAACTTTTCAGCCTTGCTGGCAAATGCTTCATGCACTATGCTGATCGAGACTCAACAGTAAAGAAACACGAGTTGGAAAAGTGAGTTGGTTTTGACAGATGCTAAGTAACAGCAGCCCCAAGATAGCAGCTAAACGGAGAGAATACCTGAGGTGACATTCACGTGGAAGTTCTCACAGGAGGTGCTCTGCCCCAGATCCAGTTTTTCACACAAATTCAAGTCCCTCATTGTGGAGAGTCCCCCCATTGAGGACGACGACGACACAGCAGACGAGGTGGTAGCTGCAGAGGATTGACCGTCCTCATCACTCGCTTCCTGAATAGGGCTGTGGTGCCAAGAGACAATTAACACCTTCGGGAGCATTTACAGCACAAGACAAACTGCCAGCTCCCCTCATCTGCCGACTTTTAGTGTCTCAGCCTGGTTATGGGAGGTACCAGTTATGTTGAAGAAACTAAAGTTAAGAGTTTTAGATTTAAAATGTACTAATATTATTTGGAAAACACTATCTTATTCCCATTTAGGGTAAAAACAGGGTAATCTAGTGCAAGAGATTGCTGTTTACACAATCAGGGTCGAAATGCCGCACTCCGTCCAGCATCTTGGGACATCCTCCCAATATGAAAGGCGCTATACAAATCTAATCTTGTTGTTGTTTACGAGGGCTGCAGAGGGTTCACTTTCTTCAGCTCATATAAAGGGCTTACTTTAAATAGACGTTGTAAGATGCATCTTGTATGCAAAGTTATGCTGTTTTTATTTCAAAATTAAACCAAGATTCTTTGTTGCCTCAGTGACTAAATACACCATCTGCTGCAATACTAGGTCATACCGAAACAGAACGTCCCAGGTTCAATCCCTAGTCTGGCAGTGAGGCTGCTAATTGGTCTCAGATATCCTTTCCCAGGATCTTTAGACATTAAAAGGCTCTGCATGAATAATGAAGTTGAAGGGCAGGTGCGAAGGACATCATTTTTCCAACAGTCAAACTATTCAGTATCATAGAGCTATAAGAACATAAAGTGCAATGGTAGCCACAACATGAGCTCTTCTGGACGTGTAGTACATTGAGAAAGAAACGTGACCATCTTAGCAACTATGTTGGATGGTTTTACAGATGAAGAGCTTTCACAGAACTGAATAGCAGACCATGTGGTTCCTTACCTCAGTTTCTTTAGGTGCAGCGGCTGGTCAAACAAGGACTCCTTAAGGGGAGACAGTGAACTGAAAGCACTTTTAGAGGCATTTATGGAGTCCCATTTGACAGCGCTTTCCTGATCCTCGTTCAATCGGTTGCAATGGAATGGGGTTGAAGCCAGGTGAGCGGCTCTTGCAAAGTCGCATGTGTTTTCAGGATAGGGGCCAAGGGTTTTGTTTGGAAGATCGCTGCTCACGATCAGATCCTCATTCAGTGGCTCAATTCCATCCAGATCAACCTGAAAATACAGGCCAGTTACATCCCTATACAACCAATATGTACAAAACTGCAACTATTACATGGAGTCACTGCGCTTTGGGACATCTTGAGGACGCGATAGGGGATTGTGTCAGGTGCAAGGATTATTATTGCTGTTGTTAATGTTATTGTTGATGTTGGTAGGCCATTGGCAGGCTGGCCTTCTGCCACTCTGCCCTCACCTCCTGTAACTCCATCCAACAATCCCTCCCCCTCGACCCCTCCCTTGCCTTTTTCAAAGCCCATCTTAAAACCCTCCTTTTCAACCGTGCCTTCAGTTACCCTCCCTCCCCCCTGCCCTCCACCCTCCCCAGCTCGGGTCCGAAACACTGATTGTTCAGCGCCTTGAAACATCCTCCTGACCTGAAAGGCATACCCTCTGAAGAGTAGCATTGCCTGCTATTGACAGAAAGTCGTACAGACCAGGCTCAATTTTCAATCAGGGTAGCAGCTGGTGTGCTACATTTGACTGTAGTACTTTGGAAAGTGGGGGGGTTGGGGAGAAAGAGAGAGACTTCCTTACTCAGTGTCCAACTGTGAAGGGCCGTATATAAATGCAAGCTGTGAGCAATTCTTGCTCCGACTTAATATTCAGTAACCCCTGCTGTAAAGTGTGGTTACAGACATTTGATGGAGGATAGGATTGGACTCCAGTGATAACTATATAGGTGTAATACTTAGTATCATTGCCGTAACTTACACATTGTGCAACAGAGGTCTCCACAGGTATAATCCTGTGAGAGGAGAGAACTCCTGAGAGAGGCCTTCGCACACCAGTCTGCAATTGTTTCGTTGATGATCTTAAGGAATAAAACGAAGGGAAAAAATGTTTAAGTAATATGTCTGAACTTTTGTGAATGTTTATAGTCTAGGCTAGGATTTAAATAAAACTTTAGTGCACTGGCACGTCTACAAATTTTAGCTGGTTCTGCACATCAAATACAAAGCCTGATATGACAGTAACAGCTCATCTGATATTTGAAATAGTTCCGTTAGTACAGCATTAATTCCAAAGTAAATGGAACAATTTTGTTTAATTTTTTAAAGAAACAAATCTGTTCAAAAATGTCAGTGTGGCAGGCAGAATGTTATACCCCTCCCTTTATATGGACAGACTGCTCAGTTAAGCATCAAGTTTCTGTGCTTTGGTCAAATTTGGGAATAGTTCCTTGGCACAAGGAATGTTGGCTCACTAGGACTCAATGTGGCTTACTGGTAATAGTCTCAATTTAGTCTATTTTAAGGTTGGCACAGACTGGTTCATAATTTTCCTCTCCCATGAAAGCACAGAGTAAGACAGATGGAGCTTGAGAGGGAAGAAAAAAATCTTTCACGCCTCAAACCAGCAAAAGAACCACTTGCAAACCTTTCAATTATACCAAGTTCTGCTGTGATAGGCCACAATTTATAGATATTTCTGGCTGGCTGATCAGCAAGTCTCAGAAAACCTTAAAATATGCCCAGTAGAATACCTCACTACTGTAGAACTCTGTCCATATTCCAAAGAGCCTGAGGATATGGGCATAGAAAAATACTGCTGGATAAGTTACTCACTTGTTCTCACTTTCTTCACTCTCATCAAAAATGGTGAAAGGCACTGACCCCAAACCAAAGGATGAGGGGAGTAGAACTGAAGTAGATTTACACTGGTCTTCTCCTTTGCCTGAGAAGATAAAACATTTCATTACTATACATCACTTATCAATGCACAAGGTACGTTGTGTTAATCAGCATGCTGTGGTCTCATTATGTATTACATTTTTCAAATAATGCATTATTTTGGTTTGTAGATAAAATAACCTTCCAACACTTACTAGCTAAACTCTCACATGAGTCATCACTACCAACACTCTCCTAAGTTTTCACAACCAACACTCACTTAAGAGCAACCACTGGAGTGAATAGTCACTCACTCAAGTGTTGTTCCAGAAAGTCACCAATACCAGGAAAACTGTACCTAAGTGACCACCAGGAGGTACAAATTGGAGAGAAAAATAGTTCACATGGAGCTTTTCGCTCCCCTGTATGAAGAACACTACATAAATGCAAGCTGTTGTTTTACATTGGAGTATATCTTAAAGCATTGATACAACTGACTGGGAACCTGTGCTTTGGGGGTGGGCGGGGGGGCAGGGAAATGAGTCTTGATGATCGTTTTGAAGGAGGGGAAAGAATGACAAGGCAGAGGGACTCCAAGGTGGAGTTCCAGAGTGAGGGGGCAGAATGGCTGAAAGTTATTTAAAATTTTATAGATACTCATTTTAATATAACATTTTAATTATTATTTTATATAGAATAGAATTTTAATAAATGTCATACTTTTAATAAATTTAGGATTGAATTTAAAACGATGAAAAACATGAAGCAGGCCTGTGTTTGCTGGGCCGAGGGAGCAGGTGGGGCAGAAAGTTGCAAGGCCAAGGCTGGCCAAGGTCACGGAAGCATTTGAAAGTGAAAATGAGAACCTTCATTCAATCAGTTAGGAAATTCAGTGAAGCTGAGCAAGGATTGCAAGGGACAGTCCTTCCACAACTTGAACCAAAGGGTGAATTCAGTCCAGATTATAAGATAAAAGACTCCCTTTCCCTGCTGACTCCTGAACATGTTTACTCACCAGAATTCATAAACCGGGCTTCAAATTCCAAGTCTTTATCATTGTGTGCACAAGGTATGGTAAATAAACTCTGTAACTGGCTTTCATTCTCTGCTCGAGAACTAGTAACTGAGACCTGGAACATGTCATTTATTGCATCTGGAATTAAAAAAAGGTGAAAGGTTACATACCAGAGAAGAGCAAGCCTGAGTGCACTTGACAGAGCAGTGATCAGTCAAAAAAAAAAAAATCCAAGTATAGGAGTAGAAACTCCACTCGACATATTGTAGTTTGCCTGAGGCACTGAGCAAGACAGTCTCACTCATGGTTGTTAATGAATGCTATGGGCCAGACTTCAATTCTGCTATTCCCGTGTGAAGAACTCAGTTGAAGTGGAACTGAATATGTAATGTCTGCAAACTTTCACAGGTCAAATCCTTCAGACTATGGGCTGTAACTCACTACCAACTCCCTCCCAGGAATGATAATTTGACAGGAATTACATTTGCTGCTTTTTCAATAATACTGAAATCACCCAAACATGACGTAAAAGCAGGAACACCATGTAGTCCTTGTTTATCATCTGGTAACTGACCCGCAGTGTGCTGGCACACATGGAGCCTCAGAAAGTTTCAATAAAGATTTAATGGGCATGTTGTACTAAATCAGTATTCTTTCCAAAGGGAGAAAGTCACTGTGTTCAGTGCAAACAACTTCATGCCTTCTCCTCCCCTAAGTATGATGATCAGTGATGGGCTTCCAAATGTATCAGATACCTAGCTGATCAAAAACAAGTTAGTCACTTTTCTCATATCATTGTGCTCTTTCCCAGCTCAAAGAAACAATTCCCCATAGAGTTCAAATATAAATAAGAGACAAGATTACATTTGTAAAGCACCATTCACGCCGGGAGGACGTCTCAAGGCGCTGGACAGTGTACAGCATTTCAGACCTGAGCTGGGGTCGGGGTGGGGGGGTTGCGGGAGAGGGGAGGGGAGGGGAAGGGGGATGGCCGGTGGCATGGTCGAAGAGGAGGGTATTGAGGTGAAACAAACTACTCATTAAACGGGCATTCCATTTTGAGGTACTATATTCTTACCCATTGCCTCCTTAGTATACAGAGTAGGAGATGGTTGGACAAGCTGTAAACTTGGATTCCCTGACAGAGTGTGTTGATCCCCAGAAGTAGTTGGTTGATAGTTTTTTATGCAGTTTGCACCTAATAAAAAACAAATGTATTTCACAATTATTTTTCCATGCCTATAATAATATTATGCCTGTAAAGACTTCAGGCAATTGATATGATTAAAATAGGAAAACAATGTATATTTGTGCTGGCCTTTGACACTGAAAATGGACAATTATTTTTAAAATGCATGTTTACAGATTTTGTACTGTTGGGTTTTCTAGTCAGATGGAAGGAAATGCTCATTTAAATTCAAGTGCAGATCATAAATCAAAGGGAGAACATTATTTCACAACATAAGAAGTTAGTGTAGGGAAATGCCAAACTATCAGATGTGAGTTTTCTAAGCTAGCCTTCATGCAAGCAAATCATATTTTATATTTATTATACAATACTCAATTAGTATAATATAATTTTTAAAAATGTATAATTATTATAAAATATTCATATTACACCCACCCATTATAGTTGATGTCCTGCAATTAGGTGTAAAGTTTGATGGATGTGAACTCTTCACTTTCAGTGCTTGGTCATTGAATCTGTGAAAACAGGTTGAGAGGTGGACAATCAATAATAATAATAATAATCCTTGCATTTGATATAGCGCTTTTCACGTCGGGAGGACGTCCCAAAGCGCTTCACAGAACACACTGTAAAGTGAATTGACTGTATATTTGTGGGCGAACGCAGCAGCCAATTGCGCACAGCAATGTCCCACAAACCGTCGTAGATTGAAAATGACCAATTTATTATTGTTTTTGGTTTTGGAGGGATTATTAGGCTCTGTGTGGAGTAAGGAAATTTGCCGAAGGTTTCGCCCTGACCTGCCTGGAATTGAACTCAGGTCTCTCGCTTGCAAAGCATCACTGGGCAGTACAGTAAGTCTTCAGTAACCTCCACAAGTTAACATATGATCAGAAAAGTAGCCCACTTCTTGACCCACTTCTCTCAGACCATGCACAGAATGACCCCGTTAGAATGAACCCTGATATAGCTCAGGTGCTTTCAGAGGGCTGGTGTCCTATGGACCTGTGCTATAATGGAAGCACGGGACATCTGGCTTCCAACACTGAGATCTGCCCCACATTTAATTTTACACAAATACTCCTCGATCCCTAAATGTCAATGTCAAATGTCAGATCCCAGACACACGTTCAACTCCACAAATACTGTACTATTGTACTATAAAATAGCTACCCCACCTCCAGCAGTTACTCATACTGACATATGCCCTCAGCTAGACTGACCACACATTAATTTCTTGTATGCGAGTATTGACAGCGATTTCTTGCAGACTAGACTTTAGGGGGCACACTAGTCAACTCTGATCTGTGCACAACCAAATAATATTTGTGCCTTATTGCATTGCTGAAACATCTCAAGGTGCTTCACAGAATTACTGTGAGGTGTAGCGACTGCATTTCTAGGCATAGACAACATACAATTTGCACACAGCCATGAAGTGAATAACCTATTTTATCTGGAGGAATTGTTGGCCAAAACACAAGAGTCTTCCTGTTATAGGCTACCCTTTGAGCCTTCAAATTAGATGCTTGTTTCTGAGGATTCAGCTCTCGGGTATTATTCAGTGGATTTTAAGCTCTTTTGAAAGTGCACTGGGTCAAATGTCTCCTTCACAACCTGCCCATATCTGACCCTGTACTTGTAAACTGACTAAACACCTCGATGGCTTAAGAACACAACCCACTAGGACTTGTTTACTGTTTATCTTAGCCCATCCTATTATGGAACTTCGAGCTAACGATTGGAAGACAACAAGTGAAAACAAATGATAGACAGAAGATCAAGCTCTTGTGAAATTCAAATCACTGCTTACCCTTCATTTCTTTGCATTTCTTCAACTTTCACTTGGGATAGCTCTGATTCTGGAACAAGTGGGTTGGATGTAAATCCTGAATAAGATGGCTGATGCGATGTTATGTTCTGGATGTGGGACTGACACCTTTCTGGAAAGGCCACGTGAGAGGAAACATTCTGATCTGTGTGGATGGACTGGTTACATGCACCCAACATGGATGTGGGATTGGTAATCTGGAACACAACACCCGTAATAAGAAATAACAGATAAATCAAACCCTGCTTACAAACTATCCTACAGCAAACCTAGCATAACTCTGATCTGTTTAAAATCATACAATCGCCTAAGTCGTACAATTGCCCAGGTCCCATTCAAGGGTTTATATTCTATGCAAGTTTGACAAAACTTGTATTTTGCAAAAATCATATTGAATGTGTGGTTCCAACTGATATGACTTGTATGACATTTACAAGTACAATACAATTTATATATACACCGTAAAACTCACATAAGTGGTATCAATCAGGACTGGGAACATTTAATATGACTTACGTGAAGTTTACTTTCTCTATTCTGTTTAAAGGGGTTCACATATTTATTCTGAAAGTAATGGTTTGATTTCGCCTTTCATCACTAACATGAAATTTTAAAAAAAAGAACTCTCAGCAGGCAGCATCTATGGAGAGGAAAGTGAGTTAACGTTTCAGGTCGATGACCTTTCGTCACAATACTTTCCTCTCTCCATAGATACCTGACCTGTTGAGTGTTCCCATCAACTCTGTTTTTATTTCAGATTTCCATCATCTGCAGTATTTTGCCTTTTTTTAAAAAAAATACAGATTACACACCTCTCGCTCGGCTGGTTGGCTTTGTGGATTAAGGGAGGCCTGCTGATTTTCTAGTCTCCTTTGTGCCATTTGGATTAATCGCTCCATCTCCTCACTTTGTTGTTTCAACTCACACAGCTTCTGTTCCTGCTCTGTAAATAAATACAAGTCAGTTCATCTCCTCTTTCTAGCTGCTTGGTATACTGAGCAAACTTGTCAACTACTCCTTAACTAGGAATATATTACAAGTAGTCAGAAACCTGTGTGGGAAGAAACTGTAGCAACCAGTTGTCTGAACATGCACATCTCTAAAATGTATTAAAGTTTTCTATTCTGTTGTACATTGGATATTAATTCTATTGTTTAGATCTGTTCTATTTCCTCTTCCTCTGCTCGTCATCCATCTCTAAAAGGTACTGATAAGAGCCCAGTTTGTAAAGGGATTTGACAAGACTACATCAGCGTGCAAATCTGTCTAGCTAGATCTGTCTGTGAGAGGAAAGATTCCAACAGTTTAGCTTTAGTTTCCAATGGAACAATGAACAAATGCAAGACTACATGCAATCATTCGCAGTAGTAAAATACATATTGAAATCAAAAGTAAAATACATATTGAAATCAAATGATCTTCTGAATTACATTTAGCAGAGGCAAAATGGATTCCATTCTTTCATTATTGCATAATATTGACTATTTGAATTCATGTTCAACTCTCAATTTCTGAAGTCATCGGTAACATCATTTTTACGGGTTTGCACAGAAGCACTGATACCTTGAGTGGAGCGTTTATACTTTTTCTTGAATTCCTCTGCTCGGAGTTCTTCAAACGAGAACTCGCACAGTCCAGCATTGACCTTTTCCTTCAGGTACATGGACTTCTGTTTCTGTTCCTCCTCGCAGTCCTGTGCTTGTAGCCTGATAAACGGATTCACCGCTTCAGAGGGCTTACGAGAGCTCAACACTGGGGTGAACCAGGGCTCAATCGTACGTGTGGTCCTGCAACCAATCAATACAAACATTCTGCTTAGATTTTAATCTAAAAACAAAGCAAAGCAACGCCATAAATTCTCCTCCCTTAGTCAATAGCAAAACTTGCAAGTGGACATCAGATGAACCAAGTCTTCTCAAAACAGATAAAAGTCTGAGACATAGAAAGAGATGTTCATCTCTTCACTGCAGGCTAGATTCAAACACAGATCTTAAAGGGGAAAGCTGAAATTAATAAACATAGCAGAAACATATCACTGCATACATTTGTTAAGGTTCAATTGTAATGATGGTATTTTCATTTTTCAATGAATTTAGTTCATAATTAATAATTTTTTTCAATGAATTTAGTTCATAATTAATAATAATTATTATTATTAATTCATGGCACATTACTATTAGTTCAATTCATGAATAAACACCAATTAGCATCAGTGTGAAATTACTATTTCATTTCCGTCAATGGGTTACGGTTTGTGGTACTAACTCCGACTTCAAGCAAGTCATATTAAATGTCATGGTCCCAACTGATACGACTTATGTTAAACTGTATTTCATGAGGAATCCCAATAGAATGCCCATCAATCCACGGGAACTGTGCTTCAGAAGCAGAACACATCAGAGCAAAGTTCCTGCGGGTTGTTACTTATTGCCCTTTTTGCTCAGCTCAATAATTTAAAGAATCAAATGAAATACTGCAAATTAGACCCCAATATGACCAAATTCTGTTAAAACATTGGAATCAGTTGGCACCGCACTAGATCTTGCATTGACAAACCCTCAATTTTATGCATTAGCCTCACGTAAATGCTCACTACCCTCAAACGTACACAGTCGCTGGTTGAGCAGATTCGTCCACAAACAGCTGGAAATTGGGTTTGCTGGCTGACAGCAGTTGAGAATAGGGAACAGAGGGCACGCTGGGGTGTTGATGCACCTGGAGGCAGGGAAGGAAAGCAATTTAGTTTCAGCATCTGGTTAAATTGAAGGAATAATTAATGACCAATCTAAAACATTTGATCATGAATCATCAATATTATTCTACTCCAATAATTGAGTTACTGAATTATTAGTAAATAAAAATATTACTTTAAATTTTCGCCCACTTAAAAAAACACCCTTAATCCACTTTGCAGTATATTCTATAAAGTGCTTTGAGACGTCTCAAAGACGTGATAAGGCGCTATGTCAAATGCAAGGATTATTATTACTGAATTTTTTCAAAAGGATATTAGAAAAATTATTGAAAGGTTGCATTAGAATAAGATAACAAAAGGGATCCGAATATTCCAGCAAGCAAGACTCTAGATTTAGTAATACAGACGAAACAAAGAGCAAGAAATTCACAAGGACAATTCAATTGGCCAAAGGAATACTGTGAGAATAGTGCAAAGCGAATGGAAAATCTACAGGCCCAGAGCCAGTAGCCCAAAGTGATGGTGTACCATCACTTTGTAAACATTGTGCACCATAACCTGAATAAGAGTTGATTTAATGTATCATACATAGCAAGAAGTCAGTTTAAGAATGATCTGAATAAGACTGACCAAGGTTAGAATTTTGACATTTAACATCAAAGCAAAAACAAAATTTAAGATAGCCCTAGCTGAAGAAGAATGCAGAGATTTTAAAAATATATTTTCAATTCTAGCTGGAAAAGTTCTGCAGATGCTGAAGTAAATATTTTTTTTTAAAAACCACCCACGAAAAACACACACTCACTGCACTTTTATAGTATATTCAGCAAAGGACTTTGGGACTCCAGACGTGAACGTCACTATACCAAATGCAAGGATTTATTATTTTATTACTATATAATTAATTTTATTATTACTTCTGGAACTAAGGAAAAGGCGCTATACAAATGTAATTTTGTTGTTGTTGAGGGAAGATGAAACAGCTTCAGCTGTTCAGATTTTTCACTTTGGTTTTACTGTAGCACAAAGACACACGACTGCCCAACATAGTAAAAGGAACACATTTGCTATATTTACATCTTGCTTTTGGTTTCAACCGTTACACTCCCTATCCCAGAGTCATCATCAGTAAGTGCCCTCTAGGTTGTCCCATACCCTTGCAGTATTCCAAGGGCCTGGCTCCAACTCGTTCTCTTTAGCTGTGGATGAGGGTAGTGCAGCCTGTGGCTGTGGAGCTGGCATACGCTGGTCTCTAGACGGGTTACTGAGCCCATCCTCACTGAACACTTTGAAGCTGCAGCCCTGCTGCTGAGGGGGAGGCACGTGTAGCTGCAGCCCTTGTTTTTGTGCTGAAATAAAAGAGGCAATAATGGAGTTGAAGTTTCCTTGGACTTTTACTGCCAGCTCAAGTGGAGATTCCAAATTTTGCATACGGTACAATTGTGTCATATCAACAGAACCAACACTCAATTAGATATATTTTAAAGCACAGAATTTTCTGTAAAATAAATGCATTTATCCTCTCTCCTGAAGGAATTGAATCTTACTGGCTATATTGTCATGGGCACCAGCAGACCACAATATCTCAACTAAGGCTAGTTTTTATGTGTAGACTAAATAGTTAAGTGTCAGTAGGCCATTTAACTATTGAGGTGATGGCATCAGGCAAACAACACCAAGCTGTTCTCATCTGATGATAATAATACTTACATTTGATATAGCGCTTTATCATATCTTCTAGACGTCTCAAAGAGCCTCACAGAATATTCTGTAAAGTGAATTGACTGCATATTTTGTAGGCGTAACACGGCAGCCAATTGTGCACATCAGTGTCCCACAAACAGTCGTGGATTAAGTGACCAACTTATTATCATTATTATGTCACACATACTCACTTTCACAGCAATGAAAAGCAATCAGCAAAGAAAATCCTAGACTGATTTTCCCCTCCTTAACCCAGGGGCACTGAGGGCAATTGTAACAGCCCAAATAGCTGTCACGTTTTGATCAGCCTGGTATTGTGCATTTCCTGGCAGTGAGTAGGATCCCAGTTGTTAATCGATTGGCAGATCACTTTCTGGGGATAATAATCCCTTCAAAAAGTAAATTGGACACTCAATCCATGACTGTGCACAATTGGCTGCTGTGTTTCGCCCACAAAATACAGTCACTACACTTTACAGTATATTCTGTGAAGCGCTTTGGGACGTCCTCCCGACGTGAAAAGCGCTATATCAAATGCAAGGATTATTATATAAGAACATACCCTACCCTAAATGCAGCTGAAACCCTTGGGCATGCATTTATCATCTCCGCCTGGATTATTCAAACAGACTCCTCGCTAATCTCCCCAGCTCCACTATTCAAAAGATCCAGCTCATTCAGAGCTCTTCCACCCACATACTTACCCAGACCAAACTCCATATCTACATCTCACCAGTTCTGTCCAGGAACCACTGACTCCCCATCGCCGAACTGATAGACTTCAAGATCCTCAGACTCATGTTCAAATCCCTTCACCCCCTGGCACCTCCCTACCTCTCCGATCTCCTGACTCTCTAATCCACCATCCGGCAGCTCTGCTCAAATGGCACTGGCCGCCTGCTCATCCCTCGCATTCTCTGCCCCACCATCGGAGGTCGTGCTTTCAGCCACTACGCCCTGAGACTCTGGAACACTCTCCCTCAATCCCTCCACCTTGCCCCCTCCACTCCACTTTTTCCAAGTCCTGCCTGAAAACCTTCATCTTCGACCGTGCTTATGGCCACCTAACCCGCCCAGCTCGGAGTCAGACTCCGCCACTGTTATGCGCTCTGAGATGCTACCCTGCGTGGAGGGCGCTATATAATTGCAAGCTGTTGTTATTTTCGGTGAAGCGCTTTGAGACGTCCCGACAATGTATTAATACGATATATCAAATGCAAGGATTATTATTATTAAGGTCTCACTTTTCTCTATCACCGAAGGTGCATGACTCAGGCACGGGCAGAAAAAAAGTTTGAAGGAAATGAAGTATACAATAAAATGGCAAAATTGGTGTCAATTAACAAGGCACTTACTCCAATAACAACTCTAAGCAGCTGATATGATCATACTTACAACTCATAGAACTGCCAACCCGGCTAACGGGTGTGATAATTTTCTTTCGACCATGGCCCTTCAGCTCCCCAAGTGTAGTTCTTTGTAGTTCAGTGTCAGGAAATGAATCTTTATCCACTCCTTCGTTGATGTCCAGCATAACTTGCTTCGCTACTCGAGCCTGAAAGTGTCTGAGGAAGACAATAACAAAAATACAATCAACATTCAAATACCACTCACTGTTGTCAGTTTATTCAGAGCCATGCAACACGCCCTACAGTGAACTCAACAGCAAGTTTAGACTTACAGAAATGGTACAATACTCCAGAGAGTTATATGAAGTCCAACTCAAATTGCTAATAAGTACACTTTTCCCAAGGTAACTTAGCAGCTAAAAAGGTTTAAAGGCAGTATTAACCAATTTCTCACACAATGAGATTCAGGCACTTGAAACCCCGCAAACAAAAGGTCACCAATTACACATAATGTATCACAAAGATTTAAAAAGAATGTACAGCACAGAAACAGGCCATTTGACCCAACTAGTCCCCAACAGGAGGACGTCTCAAGGCTGGACAGTTAGGGATCCACATCCGAGCTGGTGGAGGGTGAGGAGGTTGGGGTAGGAGGGCGACCAATGGTATAGTCGAAGAGGAGGGCCTTGTGACAGGTCTTGAAGGATGCAAGGGAGGGGGCGAAGTGGGAAGGTGGACAGAAGAAGCGGTTAATGGTGAACGGGAGCATGGGGTTGTCCTTGGTCTCCAAGATCATCTTGGAGTAGGATGATTTGGCAGAGGCGAGGGCGGAGCGGAGGCCTTGGTATGGTCTAACCAGATCTGCTGATGGACTGTTAGGTGTGATTCAATCCAGGTACGTTTGGTGGTATGCATTTGTGCTTTGAGGGATTGGAGGTTGCTGGTGTACCAGGGGGTTTTACGGGAGTAGGAGGCGGTTCAGCAGGAGAGGAGTTGTGGAGAAGAGCGCGAGGAAGGTAGGGCGTTGTGAGAGGAGGGCCAGAGAGGCAGGAGTTCGGGTGACTTCAGAACAGGGGAGGAGTGGGGCGAGATTTTTTTTCCCAAGGGTGGTATGAGTTAAGGGTGATGAAATAGTGATCGAAAATGGCTTTGTCAGTGATAGTGATGTCTGAGACGGTGAGACTCTGGATGGTCACCAGATCAAGGGGGTGATTGTGGATGTGGATGACAGAGTTGTTTTGGAGGGAGAGGTTGTGGGAGGAGGAGGAGAAATCAGCAGAGGTAGAGCAGAAGGGGTTGAAGTGGAGGTTGAGGTTGCCGACAATGAGGAGGCGTTCGGAGCAGAGGGAGAGCTGAAATAACATTTAATGAGGCTACATTTGATGAGGTGGTGACGCTTACAAGTGTTCAGATTTAATCCATTTTAGAGCAAATTACCTGTGATGGTGAAGTAGCTTTTCAAGTGGCTCAGCCTTCAGCTGAATCCCCTCTTGAAGGACAGCATCAGCCTTTTTGTTATTCCCCAACAGTTCATACCGCTCAGCCCAGGCAATGTAGACAGCAGCATATGAGACACCAATTCCCGTGCTTTTCAGGAAATTAAAGATTTCCAGTGGCTCAACACAGCAGTCAACCTGGAGGAGATTAACATTAACTATTAGGACTGATAAATTAAGCCATTTGAACAATAAAGAATGAGTGAAATATATGCAAAGAATGAATGAAATGTCTAGGGTACTGGTGAATCAGACAGCATCAATGCATTCAAAAGAAAGTTAGACCTTCGCATGAAGGAGAGGGGAATAGAAGAGTATGGAGGGAGTAAGGAATGAATGGACCAAATTTAAACAAAGCACACTTACAAACTTTAACCAGTGACTGACGTATCGAAAGTCGTTATAGTACCGCTGATCCTTTATGAACACTTCCAAAGCTCTTTTCAACAGGGCTGTAAGGTTACTGTCTGATCCACCATTGGGGAACATTTGTTCTTTCCATTTGATGTACCTGTTCCATTAACCAAACAAATAGCATAAATAATGGAAATAGAGAGAACAAACTGTCCTAGCTGTCAACGTACTTACTCAATGCTCACAACAGCCTCATTTGTGGAGTCCTGTAGCTCAGTGGTTAGAGCACTCGCTTTGCAAATGAGAGACCTGAGTTCAATTCCAGGCAGGGCGAAACCTTGGGCAAGTTTCCTTACTCCACACGCCTAATAATAATAATAATAATCCCTTCAAAAACCAAAAAACAATAATTAAATTGGTCATTTTCAATCTACGACTGTTTGTGGGACATTGCTGTGCGCAATTGGCTGCCGCGTTCGCCCACAAATATACAGTCAATTCACTTTACAGTGTGTTCTGTGAAGCGCTTTGGGACGTCCACCTGACGTGAAAAGCGCTATATCAAATACAAGGATTATTATTATTATTATCTCATTTAGTAATAATATTAAATCCTTACTGAGGCCTAAATCATAAACTGAGGCCCTCCTGATTGGCTCGCGTCAGCGCCTCCGCACCTCAGGCGCTGAGAGCATCAGCATCCAAGGCTGCACTCTCCACCTCTCAAAGCCAGTCAGGAAGCTCGGTGTTCTGTTCGACCCTGAGCTGTCCTTTCTTCTTCATATCCGCGCCACAACTGGCACCGCCTTCCATCACCTCCGGAATATCGCCAGATTACGGCACTACCTCACCCCTCACGCTGCTGAAACTCTGGTCCACGCCTTTATCACCTCAAGGCTGGACTATGGGAACTCTCTCCTCGCCGGCCTTCCCGGCACCTCCCTCCACAAGCTGCAGGTCATCCAGAACTCTGCAGCTCATGTACTGTCCTGCACCAGGCTTCGCGACCACATCACTCCCACCCTCGCTCGTCTCCACTGGCTCCCCATCCCCCAGAGGATCGAATTCAAGATCCTCATCCTCTCCTACAAAGCCATTCACGGCCTTGCTCCCTCCTACCTCTCCGACCTACTATCCCCCTACTTACCTGCCCGTACCCTCCGTTCCTCAGGCTCCAGTCTGCTCCACATCCCCCGCCCCAACCGCCCTACCATCGGTGGCTGGGCCTTCAGCCTCTCAGACCCTAGGCTCTGGAACTCTATCACCCAGTGCCTTCGCCGCTTCCTCCCTTTCCTCCTTCAAGGCCGGTCTCAAGACCTTTCTCTTTGACCGTGCCTTCAGCTCCCCTCTCGACTCTCTACCCCCTCCTCGCTCCCTCCCTTCCCTCCCCCGACCATTTCCCCCCTGCTCGGGTCCTGACCCAACTGTACAGCGCCTTGGGACGTCCTCCCGACGTGAAAGGCGCTCTACAAATGGAATCTTGTTGTTACATTTGATATATAATAATAAACCTTGCATTTGATATAGCACTTTTCACATCATTGAGATGCCTCAAAGCGCTTCACAGAATACACTGTAGAGTGAATAGATTGTATATTTTTTGGGCGAAACCAATCCACCAATCAACTAACAACCAGGTTACTACTTACTGCTTGGTAAACAGAGGAATGTGGAGTAAGGTAACTTGCCTAAGTTTCGCTCTGCCCGGGAATCAAACCCAAGTCCTCTCACTTGCAAAGTGAGTGCTTTAACCATTATGCTAAAATTAGGCAGTCTGTGCCATATATTCACACCATCAAGCTCTTAATATTGAACAAATTGTGTATTTAAATCCAGGATACTCCATTACAAGATTTGGGCATTTAGATGCCAGCTGAGGACAATACACGAGAATTAAAAAGTCAAAAGTATTCAGGAGAGAAAATTGGAGGAAACATTGTCAAGCATCTGCCAGGATAGAGGCAGGCGAACTAGATGGACCTTGCTCTTCTTTCACCTAGAAAATTCTTGTGAGCTAAGCTCATAACTGGCAGACCGAACTGGTAGCTAGCGAACAGTACAGGTATTGATAATTAAATTAGTTCAATCAGTGCAAGAACTGGCACTGGTTATTTTGCAAGTTTTATAATACAACTCGATTCTTAATCCATCGTCTCCACCCAGCCAGCTGCATAGAGTTTTGAAAAGTTTAGATGTGAAAGTAACTACAGAAAATATTAATTGAATTTAAAAGGAATATAAAATATATCCATAACTGAGCTCTCACCTGTCCCAGACATCCAGTGGGTCATCGCCTGAATAAAATCGTATTTCTGCTTCAAAAGCCCTGTAAAATAATAATATAAAAATAAACAGATTAGGCAATTAAACCTATTTCAACAACAACTTGCATTTTTTATAGGGCATTTCACATTCAGAAGGACATCCCAAGGCTCTGGACAATGAGGGGTTTGCACCCGAGCTGGAGGATTGTGATGCCTGGCAATCCCAGAAGCTAATAATCCCAAAATTTCTTTTTGCAGGTTGACTTTCATCAACAAACTGGCATTTATAGCAAATCGGCAAAACCTAACTTTAAAAGATGCAAAATGTTGACACTAAGTCATTGTTGTTGCTATGAAGACACATGATCTGATGCTTCATCACAGTGGGCATTCAATAACCCACCTTTAATCATACTGTCACAGTACTCTTATCTCTTTTCTTTACATGTGAATTAGGTGCACTCTGAAAGGAGTGATCCTTCACTTCTCATATTATTTGTAGGGTCCGAGCCTGATCAGAATGATCTCACAATACCCACTGTACTTCTTATAAAATAATCCTATTTATTCAAACAAGTACAATCAACTTCCGAATGCGACACAACTACTTACTGTTTCTGCTCCTGGATGCTCATGTGACTTGGACCATCATGTGTAAGCAGTCCTTGAAGGGTACTCACAACCCTGCCTTGTTTCAAAGGTTGTACGTTCTCCTTACTCAGCTCCCACTCTGCTTCCGCCATCATACCAGGTCACACAGTGTTCACAAACAAAAGTCTGCAAAATTAAACTAACAGGACTTTACAAACAGGGCAGCGAGTGATGGCAGTGGGAGAAGCACCAGGACTAAAGCTCGAAGGACAGCCAAATCAATAACAATAAATTACCGCCTTCACATCCCAAGCATTGGACAGTTAAGGATTTGCACCCAAGCTGGGGGTTGGAATCAAGAGGGGTGGGCGGGTGGTCGAAAGCATGTTTAAAGAGGGAGGTCTTAAGACAGGCCTCGAAGGAGCCATGGGAGGGGATGAGGTGGAGGGGCTCTGGGATAGAGTTCCAGAAGGTGGGGGCAGAAAAAGGCGAAGGCCAATGCCGGCCGAGCGGAGGGAGTGGACAGGTTGGTATTGCCGTTAATAGGTCACAGAGGTAGAGAGGAGCACGACCATGGGGGTGGGGGGTGGGGGGGGGCTTTAAAAGTGAGGACAAGGATTTTGAACTCCATCCTCTGGGGGATGGGGAGCCAGTGGAGCCGGGCGAGGATGGGGGCGATCGGTTCGCTGAGCTTTGTGCGGGAGAGGACACGAGCCGCAGGGGGACTGAACGCCAAAGGAGGGGGGGGGATTCACGCGGTCGAGCAAATACCCAGGAAAAACCAAGCACGCGATCAGCCACTCTCGTGACTTAACCGCCGTCCCCCCCCTCTCCTCGGCCGACGCCTTAACCAGGCCGTACCGACTCACTTCCACTCCAAAGTTGATCGACAACAACGCCACCAAATGACCACAAAGAACGATGACGACATCAACAAAGTGACCTTGACAGAGCGCCCGCCAGGAGGCCCTCCCAGAGCGCTGGGTACGCGGGGACTCGGGACCCGAGCCAGAGCTGGGGCGGAGGGGTAGCGGTCGGAGGGTGACCAAAGGCGCGGACGAAGAGCAGGGTCTTTGATGGCGGCAATGGAGAGCGTGTGACGCGGAGGGGCTCTGGGATGGAGTGCCAGAGGGCAGGGCCGGAGGGGCCTGACCGCTGATGATGGGGGGGGGACATGGAGCCGGGCAGTCCGAACAAAGCAAAGGGCATCGTTTCAGTCTCCATTTGGAAGAAACGAGGCACAATCCCCCGACCCCACTTACTTACTTACTTACCTCACTGTACAAAAGCCCTCGTTGGCCCTGCGACTGACCGACACCACCCACCAGCTCTCGCTTTCTGCGTCCGGTGGTTGTGAAGGGGAACTCTCGTCAGTCGATCAGTTCGGGGAGAGAAAGAGGGGGGATATCAGTCGGTCTGTTTATCGGTCGGTCAGTCAGTCAGTCGAGGAGGAGGAGGGAAGGGATGAGGCTCTCCGCGTCCCTCAGGCCCAACGCCGCTCGCGGGAGCGCCGACCATTTGAATATTTGAATGCAACCGCCGCCGCTCGAGCTGCCGCCCACCCCGCAGTGCCGCGCCCTCTCATTGGCTGACTCGCGCTCCCCCCCCCTCCCGCTGCAGTTGTCCAGGGAGTTGGGCAGCGCATCCACTCGTTGGTTTGTAATCAGTTTGGGAGGGAAGGAGAGAGAGAGGGAGGGAGTGAGGGAGTGAGGCTGACCGACTGACCGACTGACCGAAGGCACGGCCGAAGAGGAGGGTCTTGAGATGGGCCAAAGATGGGGGGGGGGGTGGGTGAGGCGGGCGGGCGGGCGGAGGGACTTGAGGCAGGTCGGAGCCCCGCTGAGCGGAGGGGGCGGGCAGGGTGGTAGGGGCTTTTAGGAGGTGACGGAGGTAGGGGCCATGGAGGGGCTTTGACGGTGAGGACCAGGACCTTGAACTGTATCCTCTGTGCGACGGGAAGCCAGTGGACACGGGCGGAGGTGACGGGTGACGGGGGGCGCGGAGCCCGGTGCGGGAGGGGGGAGACGCGGGCTGCGGAGTTGTGGATGACCCGCAGCCTGTGGAGGGAGGAGTCGGGGAGGCCGACAAGCAGGGAGTTTGCATAGTTGCAAGAGGTGCTGACGGGATCGAATCAGGAGGGCTTTGCTCTTGTTGACGTTCAACTGTAGAAAGTTAGCTCTCATCCGGGACTTTATGCCTGACGGACATGCCATGAGGAGTCGAGGGTGGAGGCAGCGATGTGGAGTTGGGTGTCATGCACATACATGTGGAAGTTGACCCCATGTCTGTGGATCATGTCACCAAGAGGGAGCATATAGATATCGAAAAGGAGGGAACCCGGGACAGAGCTCTGAGGAACACCGAACAAGACGGTGCGGGGGCTGGAGGAGAAGCCGTTTGCGGAGATGAAGTGGGAGGGGGTGTGAGAGGTACAATCTGAACCAGCAGAGAAGTCAAGGAAGACGAGGAAGCAGAGGAAGCCCTGGTCGCAAATGGACAAAATGCCATCTGTCAGTTTGACCAAGGCTGTGGGCGGCACAGAAACCCAATTGGAGGGTTTCGTGAAGGGAGTGGAGGGAGAGGAAGGAACAAAGCTGGGAAGCAACGACTCATTCAAGGACCTCGGAAAGGAAAGGGAGGTTGGAGATGGAGGTGGTAGTTTGAGAACATGGGTGGGTGCAAGGAGTGTTTTTTAAGGATAGGAGTGATGATGGATGTTTTTAAAGGGGTGGAAACAGTACCAGTGGACAGGGAGAGCTTTATAATGTCTGTGAGTAGAAGGCAAGGAGGTGGAGCTGGGAGGTAAGGAGAGAAGTAGGGATGGGGTTGAGGGAGCAGGTGGTCAGTTTCATATGTGTTATTGTGGTGGTGAGAGAGGAGCAGGAGACAGGTTCGAAGGTGCGGAGGGAGTGGGGCTAGTGGTCGGAAGGGCAGAGGCAGCTGAGTAGATTTTCTCAACTTTGGTTTTGAGGAAGTCCAGCATCTCCTTGCAGTTGTCGTTAGAGGAGAGGATGGCCGAGGCGTGAGGGTGGGCGAGGCCTGACAGTTAGTGCTTCAAATGTACAGATGTCTATAAAGTCCTGTTACCCTCATTTTTTCCATACAGTGAGTGCACTGACCAACAACTGAACCATGTAGCAGAATGATGATGATTGTATTTAGGATGTGCTTAGTTGTATTCAGTACAAATGTTGTACTGAATTGTTGTAAAAATGATCTGTCACATGGATAATAATAATACTTGTATTCAATATTGTACCTTATCACGTCGTTGAGACGTATCAAAGCGCTTCACAGAATATATTGTAAAGTGTACTGACTGTATATTTTGTGGGCGAAACCCGGCAGCCAATTGTGCACAATAATGTCCAACAAACAGTTGTGGGTTGAGTGAGCAAATTATTAAAATAATAAGTAAAATAACTTAACTCGTGAAAGCTAATAAAGACTTGTTAATATCAATGGGTGAGAGATGCTCTGTTCCTTAATGGATTCAAGGATAATTAGCACTTTGAATCTGCAAGAAAATGTCATATATTTCAATTCCCAAATAGGGATGTAGATTTAAAACCAATTGTTAGTTGCACTTTCATTTCCCGCTTCAATCTTTGCTCTTTCCTAAATGACCATGTTGTTTAGGAAGCTGGGATGATCTTTCATCCATTTCTAAGCCTATTGCTGCCACTTCTTGATCAGACCACAACATCACAAGATGGCTTCTGTGTTGAGAGAACATCTGTCTTAACACCAACCAGTGGATTATGGAAATGTTTACCTTCCTTTGATTTTTTTTAATAACGGCATGTTTGAATCTTTCTGCAAATGGCTGTTGAGGCCAAGTTATAACCTCACCTTTTGAAAGAGAATTTGTTAACAACATTTGTTAAATATTTGAAGAAAAATGTTAAAGATCCCATGGCACTATTCGAAAAGTTTCTCTCTCCCAGTGACCTGGTGAACAATTCCCCAAATAAAATTTGTCACTCACTCCATGGCTGTTTGTGTGCACAAATTGGCTTCTGCGTTTGCCCACAAAACACAACAATCACCACGCTTTATACTATTTCTGGTGAAGCACTATGCAACAAACTCTTGATGTGAAAGGCGCTATACCAGATGTAAGGATTATTATTATATTATTATGAAAGTACAGTTTGTGAGGGGTGAACTTCGCTGGGTTTACGGTGTAGTGTATGGAGTATTGCAGGTGCACAGTTGGCAGGGGAATTGGGAGGTGAAACTTTTAAGATAGGGTGTGGTATTGTGGGGGTGTAGCTTGTGGGGTATTGGGGCTCATAGTTTAGGGGGGGTGGGGGGATGGGCGGGCTACTTAAAATGCCTTCAAACTATGCCCTCTGGAAGTTGAAGTATTTCCCTGTTCAAAATACCCGATGATTTAAATCGCCCACAAACATACAGTCAATTCACTTTACAGTGTGTTCTGTGAAGCGCTTTGGGAAGTCCTCCCGACGTGAAAAGCGCTATATCAAATGCAATTATTATTATTATTATTATAATTATTATTATAATGTCTGCCGGACATTATTATTATTATTATTATAATGTCTGCCGGAAGTAGCAGACATAATGAGTTGAATGGTCCTTTGCCATTCCATGTTTTCTCACGTTTCTATGATTTTATTTGCAGGGAAATGTTTTGTTATAAAATAAAAGCCTGCTCACGAGCTGGAAAAAAAAGGAAGGAAAAGTTTTATAAACTGTTCCAGTGGGTGTCCGTATGGCCATTCAATGAACATGGCCAAGAGATTTGCGTCACTACAATATGCCGATCAAGTTGTGATTGGGATAGAGTCCAGCAGGGTGCACTGTTGGCTGTTCTTGATGTTCACTGCTCAGATGCTTCTCTTCTCTCACCTCAGTACAGTAAATGGAACCAGTACCGACCCTCTGCTGCACAGGATGTTTGGAATCTGATCTCCCAGTGAGATCCTCTACTCGGTGCATTGTGCTGGTCAGTCATTGCATTTGATATAGCGCTTTATCATGTTGTCGAGACGTCTCAAAGCGTTTCACAGGATATATGTATGAGAACGAGAGCCTATTGGAGAAGGTGATGATAAGGTTGTATGGTATATATGTAAGCGACAGTTATATCATGGTCAAAAAATCCAAGGAAGAAAGAATATAAGTAGCTTCTTTTAGGAGCTCCCTCTGATGGTTTTGTGAGTTTATGCACTACTTACCTGATAGCGCAGAATTAATAATAATAATAATCCTTATGTTTTGTGTTGCGCCTTTCACATCAGGAGGACAAATTAATTGATCTGAGATGGCAGTACAGATGTTGGCTTTGACGTCTCTAGGTTAGGGAAGGGCACTCATTATAATATTGCAATGGAGTCCATTAATTGCTAAAATAACCATCTTCCTGTTGCGTCTCTATAATTTTTTTAAAAACGTAAGAACATATGAAATAAATCAATTATTATTTGCAACCAATCCATGATGAGACTCCCATCAAGACTCCACACGCTCTTATTACCTAGCAGTAAGTAGGAACCCGGTTGTTAGTTGATTGGCGGATCGCTTTTCCCTGGAATAATAATTCCTTCAAAAAAAATAATAAATTGCTCACTCAATCCATGATTGTTTGTGGGACACTGCTGTGCCTATTGGCTGCCGTGATTCGCCCACAAAATACAGTCAATTCACTTAACAGTATATTCTGTGAAGTGCTTTGAGACGTCTCAAAGACGTCCTCAGGTCAAGGATTATTATTATTATGAGTCCACTTGGAATAAGTCTGTGTGTGTGCAAAAAGCATCAATGCATTTATTGATGCATCTGTGAGGAGAAGGGAATGGGGGATGTAGGAGACAGATGTGTATAATTGTGTTAGAATTGCCTGTTTTAAGTGCTGTATCTTTCTGTATAATTCTATGTAACTATCTAATTATTTGTATTGTACCTAAAATGCAATATATAGCATTAAAGCAGATAGTCTGTTTCATCATAGTTTCTTAAGTGGAGGTTATGGAGGTAGAGAAACCTAGCCTGCTTCCCTTCACGGACATATTACTTTCCTTTCTTCATCCTCGGCACCAGCAGGATCAAAGCAAACACCAGACAAAATTGGTCAGTCACTTCTTGGCTATTTGTGTTCACAAATAAGCTACTGTGTTTGCCTACAAACACCCAGTCACTACATTTTAAGCTTTGAGACATTTTGACAATGTGATGAGCCCAATATCAAAGGATTATTATATTATGATTGAATTTGGAATACAAACATCTCCCTGCGTTCTTAACGGTGCTGAAAGCTAGACTCAAGCAAAGTGTGTGATTTGCAAACATTTAACTGGCAGAGAAATTTTGGATTTTTTTTCAACGACCAAATTGAAGACCTGTAATGGGAACTGAGCATTCAAAGGGTTAAACTGGATTTGGCCAAGCTGGGCATATCTAAATGTTGTGCTGACCTCAGCTCATAGGAAGGTTAGGCTGCAGCTGGGGATTGGGTTTCAGCCCCAGGGGCAGGACACGTGTAGACAGACATTGAAAACAATGCAAGCCTTGTACTTCATTCCTTCATTAATCATT